GAAACTTCAAAAAGTAAGAGCGCGTTCATCCTTCGCGATCTGACGGCAAAGTATGTACACGCTCTGAAGGAGCTCTTGTGTCTTAATTGTCATACCTTGCCTCAACGCTTGGCTGATGTCATGGCCTAGGAGATAGGGAGGTACCTCAGAGATTTATTCGTATCATGTACTCTTCTCGCAATGAACACAGATGTTGCGATTACCGCAGCCGCAAATCATTTGCTAGTCATCGTTGAATTTTTTCATTTCCAGGGAAGCGAAGCGGTTGGAGGGAACGACGCTTTGATCAGAGTTGATTTTGTTATTATGATTAGCTTTATTTGTTGTTACTTTTTCAGTATTCTGTTAGAGCATGAAGTGTTTACAAACTCGATTGTCTGGAGATATACGTTTTATTCAGGATATGAACGATATCAGCAAGTAAGACAACAAGATGCATTCACGAAGACCGAAACCTAATATTCCAAAATATAATGAGATTACTAGAAACACTGTTCATAGCGTGGATCCTGGTTTTTCCTATAGACGTGGTGGATGGGTCCGCAGCAGCAGTAGCGTGCCACTTTGTCCGCTCAAAAACGCATGGGAACGGTGCTGGCGGGGAGTGATACCCGGGTACCGTCTCCTGACTCCGACCGCCCTATCCTCAAAGTGCAAACGGGTATGTGACAAGAGAATCGTGATTCACCGTGCATAGTTCCAGGTAGTAGATGACGACAACAGGCAATTCAATCGAAATAGTCATGAATGTCTACGATGACGGGGTCTACATGAAGTCCGGTGCTCCAATCGACAGGTTAACACGAGTTGAGAAAACGCCGCGCCCATCGCCGCGCGCGGCGGAGCGGCAAGCTACGATTCTCTTGCCCGTCTTCCGTGCATAACTTGTGTCGATACCAAAATTCAGCGTCAGCCGTAAAGTTAACCACGAGTTAGAGGCGCATACTAACATCGCGTTTGGCTACGACGGGGCATGATGCTGGCCATAAGGCAGCGCGAGCAGAGTCTTGAGACGGCACTCGGGTAGTACTGCCCTCCAGCCAGCACTTTTGAGCGGAGAAAGTGGAATGCTACTGTAGCAACGGATTCTCCTCTCACATGGCGAGGACCCAGAATCGAATGCAGTGAGTGTACAGTGTCTTTTATAAGTGTTGAGGTCACATTCCCTGTCCCGAGGATTGGGAGGAAGTGTCCACGTGCTTGGTTGTAATCGTGGTATATGCCCAATGGTATATACAGGGGGGGCCAAAAAAAAAAAGTCATTTCGGCCGAGCCACATATCAACGAAGTTTTCGCAGCCCAGACAGGGGAAGTGGATATGAGTACCAGGGTGGAAGATACCCAAGATCTTCCTCTATAAGCTGGAGCACGCTGCCGCCAATCGCCTTCATGTACGCCAAAATATGAAGTCATCTCCAGTCGCGGCCTGACTGGAGAACACCTTTGGAATTCACGTCGCCTCCAAACAGCTGCGAAACTTCTTGAATGAAGTCATCCACAGATAGCTACCTGGAGGTCAGTACTCTTGACCTGCAAGACCTCCCACATCGACCAGCTACGGCAACGTCGCTACGGTCTAGGACATCATCTTCACCGTATTCGCCGAGGCGCGAGTTGATGGTATGGACCGGGGTACCTGGAAAGGGGAAGACCGATATTTTCTTTGTAGACCCCGACTGAAGGTGAGCGCTGGCGGTTACATCAAGCAACTCGAGAAGAATATCCTCCCCACATGTTGTCGCTCGTACCTTCTTGGAGACCGTGTACTGCTACAGGATTTTGGTGCCACCACATGGAATCGAAGGGTTTTGGAAAAACTCTCTCCTACTTCGAATGAAAGGGCGCTTCGTACCTGAAGAAGATGCAATATTGAAGTATGCCCCCTGACCTGAATCCCCTCAATTACCTGGTTCGGGCGGAGTTCGATAGGGTGGTCTACGGTGGCGGAGAAATCGACTACCTCGCTCAACTCCGGTACCCACCCACTTTCGCGCGGCCGAATCTCTCGATGGCGCTCCTCCAGAAGGCTGTGGCGGAGTATCATTATAGTATTTAATGTGCTCTTTAATATGGTAGTAAAAATGTCCGATAAAAATTTAATAAAGTGTAACTTATAGCGCCTTGAAAGTCATGGAGGCAAAATGACTTTTTTTTTTGGCCCCCCTGTATATGGACCTGGCCATTTTCAGCGAAGAAAAAAGGCACTAGCGTGGAACAGCTACAGATCTTTCTTTCGCCCGCTGGCTCTTACTCGTCTGCTGCTTGTGAATCTCTGACTGAACGAAAAGGTATGCACGTATCATCACTACGCTCACAGCCAAGTCATAGTCACGCCCTCCCCATCTCTGGGATATGGGGCTGCACATAAAAGAATTTTGATGAGAATGGCTGAAATGGCTCAGCGATGTCGATCATGTACGGTCCATGTCTCACAAACTGCATTGGAAAAGAGAGAATAATCGAAAACAAGATTGAAAACAACAGCATATAACTGTGAAAAGGCAAATGATGAAGGAGACACGAAAATGAGATAGTTTCGAACCCGTGACGAATCTTAGCAGCCCTTAGTTCTAGTTTGTCGTTACTGTTGTCTCGCAAAGCGCGGCACAAATCAAGTTCATCTTCCTGGAATACCAACTTTGGGGATTTGCTTTATTTTGATTACGTAGCAATCAGCATTATCATGCAGCTACTGAGGTCGTTTTGACCTCAGTAGCTGCATTGAAGATTCCAAACTGACAAGCCTTATAAAACAACTGTACACACAACCTGCAGTGGATCCTGTTCCTTGGTATGTGTTGGAAGATATGGCGGTCGCCGGGGCTCCTGCAGTAGCACGCCATTTCCTTTGGTAAAAAGTGCACAGGAAGGGGACCGTACTTGTCATCAGGCGTGCTATCGCTACGAAGGTCCAGGGGTATTTTCTCATGGCATCTACTAGCCCGGTAGTTGAAGGGATAATGTAAAGGAGGAGGGAACAGAGAAGGAAGGGAGGGAAGAAAGGAAGGAGGAAGAAAAAAGGAAGAAGAAGAAAGGCTTCGCAGTTGACAAGTGTGCCCTGAGACGTGCTCGGGCGCGCCCCTTGAGCGCTCTCTCTCGCAAAAAGTGTTCTGCTGCGGCAACTCGGAATTCTGCGGGCGTATTATGGAGATGGAACTCTGATACCACTACCCTGCAGCTCCATTCCTGTGCATTTTTGAGCAGAGAAAGAGGCATACTTCTGCAGCTGTGGACCCAATCACCTCACACATGACAAGCACATTCCGCGGGGGTGACTGTACAATGTCTTTAGGACACATGCTGCGATTACGAATCTATCATTTCATCACGGGCTTTAGGGTCTAAATATGAATTTATAGAGATAACTGATTTGTCAGTGAAAAGAACGAAATCGGGGCGAAGCAAGGTGGCGAGGGAGACGAGAAAGCACCCAGCACAAGCACACACGCGTATTCTCCTCTATCCCTATGCAGGTGCTCCCCTTTGTACAAATCAAAATAGTTACTTACCATACTGTCAAGATAATGAATTTTGCCGTAAAGAAGGATGGCCAGTAAAACGGTAATGCAGAACAGTATGAAAGCTAAAACTGTCGCAACAATGAAGTACAGTCGATATTGCCTTAATGGTGAACATAACATAATCATAATATGGAAATGCACTGCTCTCCAGTGGCCAATCAGCAAGAGCGCACTTACCGTGCCAGCAGCGAATAATTGGACATATCTGGGCGGCCAACAACGACCCCATTATATGAGGAATTCTGTGTCAAATGTTCAATGGGCATGGTAGGCGGTGGTGAACCGTTAGAGGAGTTGCCTTGTTGCATCATTGAATACAACGAGCGCCCGACGAAACACCTCCCACAATTACCATAATCGTACATGAACTATGAATTTTTCGAAAATTTCTGGCGCTTTGATGCGATTGCACGCTGCCAGGATTAATATTAGATCGCAACTTCGTGCTGAAAGTTGGCTTTTTATTCCAATAAAAACTCACTCCTATCAACGGCACATTAAGTATTTGTACAAGGGGGCCAAAAAAGACACTTTTCTTCCTCGACATTCGAAGCGATATAACTCACACTTTGTTTTGACTCGTGACTGCGACAACAAGTAGATCTTTTTAGAGTTCTGTGCGAACAATGATAATGCAGCCTACACACGTACTCATGTGAAACGATGCTCATCCGAATTTGCATCTCATTCGCTCACCATGTCTGCCTGAAAATTTGACGAGAATACGAGGATACCCTGGGAACGTGGCAATCACGTGACTGTTGGATACCCTCTCTAAAAATCGGAAATCTGTGAAACTTGGGGCGCTGAAAAGCGTTAAATTAAAGAGGGCCGAAAAGACGGAGCATGCCGAGACATAGAAAATAGCTTATGGAAGCATTTCTACATATTCTGTCGAAACGAATTCACCATGGAAAACAAGCAAAAAAATATGATAACATCATGATATACCCTATTTCTGGGGTGTAGCCTAAAACCGAGGCGGAGGTGATGTACGGCAAGCAGGGCACGCCATCGCGTTGTGATAAATTCCTGGAAAGTATGATCCCCTAGTTCCATCCTCTGATGCGACACCCCACCTCCCCATCACACTACCACTCTTTCCAGTTTTTCCGGCATTTCCCGAGAATTTTTTGGTTTTTTCCCCAAGTTTCTGCTGTCGAGTGGAGGTGAAAGGGGAGGGTATATAACACCAGTGAAAGGAAAAAAGGGCAAAAAGAACATCCGGGGAAAGTTTTCCCAACGCCGCAAATTCATCTCAAAGACGAATACGACCCCCTCCCTCCCAACAACGAGCAAATACGACCCCTCCCCCCCCCCCTCCTTCCCCCCCCTTATAGCTGCCGTGAAACAAGAGAAACCAACTATCAAAAAAATTTTCTCAGACCAAATACGAACCCCCCTCGCGGTCAAGTACGACCCCGTTGTGATTATCAAAGCGATGGCGTGCCCTGGTGGCAAGCGGCACGCTTACCACACGCACGGTTCAGGGATTAAATTCTGAAAACTCGCCTGAGCCAACGCAAGTCTCTATACATGCGGGGGCACCGTTATAGTTGCGAACCAGGTTTTTCGGAGTCGAGTCGAAGGCGAATGCATTTCTTGTTCTTCTTCTTGGACATAGTTAAATAGTCGCTTCTGCTTTTTAACCGTCTGGGAGCATAAAAACAGTACTGCATATCGGCTGGCCCTCGTGATTCATTCTATGGGCCGCAAGAATCGTTCCATTTGTGGTTTAGAAAAACTGCGTCAAGCTGAAGTCAAAGTGTATGCAGCAGTGAAGCCAAATTCCCACAACCGTTCGGTGTTAGCATTCGAACTTCGTCGCGAAATTCTGATAGAATGTAAGTACGTTCCCCTTGAAAAAAGAACTTTCTTGACTTCGTTTGGAGAGGTCAGCATCAAGAGTGCAAGACGCATCCATCCCTTATCCCTGAGACATTGATGTCGCCTGACCCCAGCCATTACACCCCCCACCTGGGAGTGAGAGGGCTGACGACTATGATCCATCAATTGCAATGGGATTTCCGTGGACTTTCAGTTTTAAGACAAGCGCGCATTTTGTTTTGGGTTATACGCAAAGATGACTCGACGACATGACGCACTCTACGTGTCAGAAGTGGAAATGCCTCCGGAGCGTCAGCCACCGCCAGCGTTACAATCGAAGTAAAACGGCAGCCACGCCCACCTATCTCGGAATTGAAGTGCCCACCTGAAAATCCCTGATTGTATGCCATGCTGCCATTCTCAAACTAAATGTGCCGCGGGTTGTGCTTTTAGGGAGCATTTTTTGGCCAAGTGTGGTCATGTCCAACACAGTACGATATGACAGTCGTCCCTAAGTGAGAGATGCCTTGAGTAACCCATGTTATGCTATGCTCAAATGCCACGCTTACTTCGTCTCAGGTCAGGGATAAGGATTGCATCGGTCGGCATACTCATTTCTCATTTCATTTCAAATGGTCGTTTTTACTTACAGCTCTTAGGCAGCGTTCAGACTTGTAGCGCTACAACTGTAGCGCTACAGTCTGAACGCTGCCTTACCTGGTCGATATCAGTTGAAATTTGGTGCAAGAGTTCATACATAATCCGGTTCATACGAGGCGCTGCACTTGACCTCCACAGTTAGGGCTACCATCACCATCTATCTTCCGCCACCTACTGACGCGTTTCCGGGTTACGTGACAACTAGAACGTTTAGGGGAGGTCCTGGCGTGAAAGGCCAGAGAAGTAGACGGCGGCGACTGCCAGGAAACCGAAAAGCGCAAAAACATCCTGATAGCGGGCTTTCAGGAGAGAGGTGAATGAGCCACTATCATCTGTGAAAAGTGGCAAGTGATGTAATGTCACGGCAGTCATGAAATGCAGGCGTGAGAGCGCAGAGAAAAACAGGAAGTTTTCCGTATTAGGGGGATTGCCCGGGTTTGAGTTGTCCGTAGACCATGGAACTGACCAGCAAAAACATGTTTGACAACTAGAAGGAGGACGAGAAGTGGTTTTTTCTTCGTCTCAAAACTTTTGGGACAACCTAGCATTTGTCGTCAATCAGCGTCTTTTTCGAGCTCGACCAAGCGTTCGACCTCTATTCGAAGAATCATGGTGACATTTGACGGCAACGTGACATGTGTTAGTTACCTTATATTAGCAGGCGAATCCAGCGCAACCAACTAATTTTGAATGCCCTGAGAAGGATTGTATCCGTAATATTCAAGGTCGGATTTCACTTTCCTAGAAGAACGTTTAGAAGCATCGGTAAAAGGATAAAGTATTCGCCGCTAATTAATCCCTTAGTGGGA